ATATAGTCTAAGAATTAGACAATGAAGTGGTTCTTATAAGTTAGTAGGGACCAGAGACATCTAGTAAAAGCCATATAGACCCATTTTGGATCTGAATGCCTTAAAGAACATTTTAGGAAAATTGAGAAAATAGAGCACTAACAATATATTTTGTGATACTTCAAATATTTTGTTTGAAAAAGAGTTATTAGGATTATAAATGAGTCCTTACATTTTGGAAATGCACTCTGAAGAGATTAGGCACTGAATGAGAAGATGTTTGGATTATAAGGAAAACAACCCAGTAATGTGAGTGGGGATAGAGGAAACAAAACACCCAAGAATTTATCAATGATGAAAGACTAGGCTTCGGATCACGGAGCTCATGACACATATTCTTTTATGTATATATTTGAAAATATCCATTGCAAAGGGTAAAATATGTCTATCATTTTTATGTTAGGAAGGATGCGTTAAAAAGAGCAGAGGAGGGGCACCTGGGTGGCTCAGTCGGTTAAGCGTCTGACTTTGGCTCAGGTCATGATCTCACAGTCCGTGAGTTTTAGCCCCGCATCAGGCTCTGTGCTGACAGCTCAGAGCCTGGAGCTTGCTTCAGATTCTGTGTCTCCCTCTCTCTCTGTCCCTCCCTCGTTCATGCTCTGTCTCTCTCTGTCTCAAAAATAAATAAACATTAAAAAAAATTTTTTTAAAGAGCAGAGGAAACCTCTGATTTCAGGGGGTAAGCCAGCATGTATCAAAACACCAATTGTACACTTTAATTTTTTTTTAATGTTTATTTATTTTTAAGAGAGACAGAGCACGAGCAGGGGAGGGGGCGAGGGAGGGAGACACAGAACCCAAAGCAGGCTCCAGGCTCTGAGCCCTCAGCAGTGCCCGACATGGGGCCCGAACCCAGGAACCATGAGATCATGACCTGAGCTGAAGCTGGACGCTTAACCAACTGAGCCACCCAGGTACCCCTAAAACAACTTTATTTAACTTTTCTTTATAGCAAAGTAGGAACACTTCAGATATGAATATTAACACCCTTTTAGGTTACATATTAAGCTGATGTTCAAGTTTGTCTAAAATTTCTTGAAATATTTTGCTGTATAATGTTAACACAATTTAAAGACTGAAGTCCACAGCTGAATTTGAATTTAGATTCTGAAGCTTAACTGTTAGTCTTTGGGCTAGTAAAAAGAGCTTTGGTTTCCTAGTTTATAACATGGATATGGTAATAACCTAGTTTTGGAGGTCATTTTGAGGATTAAGTGAATTAATGTGTATCAATTGCTTATTCAGGGATTTATATGTATTTAATAAGTTATAACTATTATAATATTCTAAGGGATAAGGTAGGAAAGAAATGTTTAAATACGCTATTTATTACTACTTGGACATTTAATAGCAAAATTTTAATGTGTTAAATGACATAGTTCATTAAGGAAAAGCTTCATTTAATTTCTGTCAAGCCATGTTATACATGAGTGGTTATTCACATCATAAATTCTTCAGGGTAGATGACAGGATAATAAAATTAATGGGAAAATTATGCTGTGTTTGAATGTTTTCCATTCTTTTTGATCTCTGTCACTCTAATAGTTTAAAAACCTTTACTCCTCATTTTAATTTGTACTGTTTTGATTACTTGCGAAATTCTAAATTTACCAAAATATATCTGTTTATAAAAGCAGAAGGGACGGCTCTTCCTTATAGTAAAATTCCAATTAATAAATGTGGGCAGACTGATAGAACTAGAAAGTTTAAAAATAAGCAAATGGTGTTAACAGTCATTTCATTAAAGAAGTTACACAGTGGCAAACACACATGAAAATCCTCAACATCATGAAACATCAGAGAACTGCAATTAAAACCATAATGAGTTGCTATTACACTCCTGTTAAAACAGCTAAAACTTAACGTTTATTTATTTTTGGGACAGAGAGAGACAGAGCATGAACGGGGGAGGGGCAGAGAGAGAGGGAGACACAGAATCCGAAGCAGGCTCCAGGCTCCGAGCCGTCAGCCCAGAGCCCGACGCAGGGCTCGAACTCGCGGACCGCGAGATTGTGACCTGAGCTGAAGTTGGACGATTAACCGACTGAGCCACCCAGGCGCCCCTAAAACAGCTAAAATTTAAAAAGACCTGTGGGGCACCTGGGTGGCTCAGTCAGTTAAGCATCTGACTTTGGCTCAGGTCATGATCTCACGGTTGGTGGGTTCAAGTCCCCACGTTGGGCTCTGTGCTGACGGCTCACAGCATGAAGCCTGCTGTGGTTTCTCCTTTCTCTCCCCTCCCTGTCTTGCACTGTCTCTCTCTCTCTCGAAAATAAATAAGCATTAAAAAAAATAAATTTAAAAAGACTGACAATACCAAGCATTGGCAAAATGTGGAGGAACGGGAGCTTATGTACTATTGGTGGAACACAGACGGGTATAACCAGCTTAGATCACAGTTTGGCAGTTTCTTAAATATTGAAACATTCACATTCTCTGACCTACTGGCCTAAGAGAAACAAAACACACATTCATATAAAGAATCATATGCCTATATTCACTGAAGCTTTATTTCTAACAGCACTAAACTGGAAACAATCCAACCGTCCCTTAACAGATGAATGGATAAAACAAACAGTGACAAATCCATAAAGTAGAATACTATTCAACAATAAAAAAATAAACATTCATATAAGCAACACTGAGGAGTCTCAAAATAATTCTGCACTGTGGAAAATATCAGAAAAGAGTAGACATTTTATGATTCTATTCATGTAAATTCTAGACAATGCAAACTAATATGTTAAAGACAGTACATCCCTGGATCCCTGTAGGTCTGGTAAGAACAAGGAGAAATTATAAAAGGGCATGAGGTACATCACGGTTGTTCATTGTCATGATTATGGTGGTTTCATGGGTTTATACGTATGACAAGAAATTTCAAATTGTACACCTGAAATATGTATAGATTATTGGATGTCAATTATGCCTCAAAATTTCTAAAAACGTAGTTCAGGGGTGCCTGGGGGGCTCAGTTGGTTAAGCGCCTGACTCTTGATCTCAGGTCAGGTCTTGCTATCAGGGTCATGAGTTCAAGCCCTGCTTTGGGCTCCATGCTGAATGTGAAGCCTTCTTAATAAATTGTTCAAAATAAAAAATCTGAATTGCCCACTTTTTGGAAACCAGCAGGTTTACCAACCTAATACTCCAATGGACAATCTCCATTCTTTCATTTCTCTGCCTTTAGAACAATGGACGGCCCTTGAGGGCAACAGCTCAGGAAGACAATGAGAATTCACAAACTCTGGATTATTTGCTCTAACAATGACTTCAGCTGCAGAAGACACACAGCTGTGGTGGTCCTGGAATTCCTCACAAGCATAGTCACTGGAACATGCAAGGATGCACTTTTAGAAGAGGCATACACCATCTGGTTTGCTGCAGGCCCCTCCCCTGCCTGTTAATCACATCAAGAATATTAGTACCAGTTATGGTTGAAGCCTGGCTCCTGTTGTCTGACAGTGATGCCAGTCTTCAGAATTATAAACATCAGGACACTGACTCCTTTGTAGAACCTGGTGAAAAACTTCCCCTCAATAGCACCCTCCAGGAGCAAGAGAATAGATTCACACCACTCCTAAAGGCACCGGAGCTTGGCAAAACAAGGGACCCCTCTTTAGAGTGTCCTATGGTCTCAGCAAGTATGGAGTCCACAAATTAGGACTATGAAGCGCTGCACTGGTTCCTAGGTCTTGTGCAGCAATGCACAGTAGG